AAACTACACAAGCGCCAATAGACTCGCGCTGGATTATTCGATTGTGACTTTCCGGGAATAGTGGATTGACAGGTTTAGTTTCTGATGTAGTTGTCAAGCTCTGAATCATGACGTATGCATGGCCGATATTCATGTATGGTCAGTGATGGCGGATACGGTGTATCGGGATTCCATACTTTATATAAACAGGGATCTTGCATGGTGTACTTTTAGCCTTTCGAGTCCTTAAGTTTTAATTCCTTCAGCTTTACTGGCATAAATGATTTTTTGATACTTTATGCACTGTTGACTGCAAGGTTAACTGCTTTTCTGATGATGAACACTTATGTTTCAGATACGGCTATTTGTTCGGACGGATGTGTTGAAGGTACCTGTACAGCTCCAGTGCTTTGCAACTGTGCGGGTTACAACGGTGCTACATGCAGTACGTACATTTTTTCTGTGGCTTTGTCAGGGTTTTGAATAACCATGGGCGCGAGTCTATTGGCGCTTGTGTAGTTTGCTTTTGATCTTTTGATGCGCAAACGCCGAACTGGATTGGTATGCTCGGAGACACGACTTAGGTGGTTGTGTTAAGCTGTGCTCACCTAAACTTTGTATATGTTTTCTTTCAGTTAATGGAACTGTGGCTTCTTTCTCGAGTGGATCCACGCAAATATCATACTCTACGACCTGTGGACCTCGATATGGCCCAGATACATACCAAATTACGGTTGAGGCATGGGTGAAAACTGCTTCCAGTCTAGGTACCGCGAGGAGAGATGTGGTAGGGAATGGAATTTATTTTTTGAACTTTCAACAGAAACAGTTAGCATTTTACGTTTACGGTAAAACGACACAGGACAATTTCGATGATCCAACACTCAACAGCGGTGGTTACTATATGTCCACTTGTATTAATCTAACGGTCGGTATATGGTATCATATTGCTGCATCAGTAGGTGAGTCGTTAGTTGTCTGCACTTTTCGCAGTAATTCACATCTACGTAATTCCACAAGCGTTCATTATTTCCGTGTCATGATCTAGGTACCAATCCGGGTAATTCTTCGACATACAAAGTGGTCCTTTACCTCAATGGTATGGAGATCCAGTCAAGTGTCATTAAACCTTTTGTATTCCTACCAGGAGATGGCATCCATTGCCTGCCATACATTGGCTATTATGTGGGCTCCTGGGATGGTGATATTGCAGAAGTTCGAGTGTGGAACTATGTTCGTACACCTGCTCAAATTTTAACTTATGCTAATCAGCGCTTTAATCAGAGCGACAATGGTTTGATCTTCTATGCTTCGTACGCAAACAATTTAAATGCAATTGATCCTGGAACTTCACAGACGTTTTCCGCTACTGGTGGAGCTTTAGGTGTGCCCTGTTAACGAGGGCGTAGCGGACGCTAAATGGCTGGCGTTTCTGTTAGTACATGTTTGGAAACTAATCGCTTGCTGTTGCGGCGAAACGAAAGCGTAAGGTTACTGTTTAGGAGAGTGATATATATGTTTGCTTATATCATGTAGCTCTTGCTGGTTGCTGTAATTTAATATTATTTACGTTTTATTTGTTGTTAAAAGCGATTGTTCACGCTGACTCATTGATATTTGGAACGCTTCTGCGATGAGTTCGAAAGAAGTAGGGTTAAAGATATGAAAATTTTTTTTTGTGTAGATATTCATGGAACTCGAGAATCTGTGGCATTTTTCGAAACAAAAACTTATGTCTTCTTGTAGTGAAAGCTCAAACTATTTGTACCATATAGTGTTAGGATCTGCACTCCTTTTTCAGTTGCACTGGAACCCGCAACCTCGATCTAAACTTTTTTTTCGAGATGGTGCAGAGATCCCCAAAGGTCGAAACATATTTCTCACTTCAAGAAAATGCTCACGCATTCCTTCGGTCCTTGTTTCCAACTAAGATAGCTGAGAAACATTGTGAACCTCTCTGATTCTACGAGGAAAGCGCACAATCTAAATGTAGTACTACTAAAGCACAATATACACTTGCCAACTTCTGTTTTGTCTTGGACAAAAACTACTAAAAACAAATTGGAGGCGGTGCGATGAGGAGCGCCGTGAGGATGAGCTGTTGCTACTTGTACTTAATGTGCCATAAAGGATATTATTGTTTTTCGAATCACCCATTAGTCAAATAAATTGTTCATTTATAGTGCGAGCCTAGTCGAGAGGAATTGTTATTATATCTCGGTAGTAGATTTCGAATAGGGTCGTTTTGAAAATCAGTTTCGCGAAAGATTTTGGTTGATATAAACCAATCGAGGCAACATGAATAGGACATTTGGAAATATCAACAGTCTCTTTCTGAGTCAAACTTCAAGCTGATGCTATATTTTAGCTCGGCTTAAAAATTGCTATATTGTAGCCGAGCGAAAGTTCGCGTAATCATTTGCTCATCCTATCTCGAGAGACTGAGAGCATCTAACACGTTTCGGCTTAAAAATTAATGTATAGCATACCCTTACTTTCAGTAATTTCTCGAAGGCCTTTAGGCAATCTAGGCACTTTCTACTTATAACTTGTAGTGGTATGGATCGATCTTGATTGGATTGTGAAAATGATCGTGTTGATCTGCTATAGGTTTTCATTACTTTCGTGCTTTTTGTCATGAAAACAAACATTGCCGCGTTATAGGCATAGTCTGAAGTCGTTGTTAAGGCTACCACACCTAATCAAACAGAGATAGGTCAACATGGGTGTATTTCCCGAACCTCAGTGACTAGCGGTCTCGCACCCGCGTAGATTTGCGGACACTTCGAGCTACCGCTTGCATTTATTACATTTAAAGTCCAATTATGTTTCTATAGTTGGTGATCTTTTCTCTTTCCAGCGCGCAGATGTACGACTTCTTAATGGTACGAGTCTGTTGAGCATTACTCATAAATAGTTGTCGAATGCTGAGTTGTAGTGTTCAAAATTGGGCCGGGCAAGGATGGGAAAAGTTGGCCCATGAGCTATCTTCCATTTACCGGCCTAGTCCATGGCGTTTAGTTCATAAACTTTCCAGCTCAACCCGATCCATAGACCGGACTGGCTGGCCCATGGGCGGCCCATCTAATCAAAGATTTTGCTTGAACACAGCCTCATTTATCATGCTGATCAAGGCGACTTATCATTTACTCTTCTATTCCATAAGGACCAATGACAGAGCAGAATAAGACACTTTAAAAGAGTAAATTTGTTACACCGTTCTCATGTGGCCTCTGATAGAAAAATGTCGGTTCTTCTACACATCAACCCATGGGCGCCCATTACAACAGGCAGTGGCCCGACCCGATGCATGATTCTGATTGTGCAAAAACCTGGCCCATGGTAGAGCATGGGTTGGGCTGAGTCGGGCTGGTTTTAAGCTTGCTCGTTCGGAGCCCTGATGAATTGAGTAACGTCGTAGTCATTATCTTTGGTGAAAATCTTCTTTTTTCATCTGTATCCAATAACGCCTGCCAGAATGGTGGAACTTGTGCAGCTTCTAACGTATGCACGTGTACATCGAACTATAC